AAACAAGGATAAATGATGCATTATGCGCATCATGCATAAAACGGAACGCACCTTAAGGGTGGAGTCCCATGGAGCGGAATAGGCGGAAGCGGAATCAGCGGATCGCCAATCACAAGACCGTTTCGACGGAATTTTTGAAAGGGCTCTATCAGAATAATCTTGCGATTGGCGATCCGCTGATTCCGCTTCCGCGTATTCCGCTCCATGGGACTCCACCCTAAGCCTATCACACAATGCCAGGCAACAGGAACAGGGAATAGAATTTCTGACGCGTTGGATTCGTCGGAAATTTTCTACCAACCAATCCAACGCGTCAGAAATTCTATTCCCTGTTCCTGTTGCCTGTTGCCTGGCATTGTGTGATAGGCTTTACGTTTGTAAGGAACATTTACATGAAATATTTCATAGTGATATTTTTCATCTTAAGAGTTGGCCATCATATTTGAGTTCTAACGTTGGTAGAATTGACCAACCAACGAAAATTTTCCCGCCATATTCAAATGAAAAATATTTATTTACATTTTACAGAAGAAGTAAATGTTTAAATGAAAAGTTAATCAATTATAAATAATGTACAAACGATGTACAAACGATTAAGTACAATAAATAACCGTTTAGATACAATAACTATAGAATAGGGGGGCTAACTATCATTCATCTAGTTACTAAAACTTTGTTATTTTTTTAAAAATTAACCAGGAATGTACAAATAATAAAAATTATTATACATTCATGTACAAACGATGTACATTCCGAATATATTAATAGTTTTATAAATTGTTGTAGGAGGGGGGTCAACTTTATGGACCTGACGTCGCCAATCACAAGAGCGTTTTGACGGAATTGTTAAAAGGGCTCTATCAGAATGATATCCTGTGATTGGTAATCTCCACTTGCGTAAAAACTCGCCTTTACCTTCAACTGTGATATTCATCAATAAGAGATAATATTATATTTTTAAGGGAAAATACTGAAGCAACAAACGCTATAATTAGAGCAACAATCATCAGCGAACGATTGCGCATCGATTTAATCGGTTTTTGAACGAAAATGAGATTCTTCCGGCTAATTGACGCTAATTTTTGTTTCTTTGTTTATAAAGAAATGATAAACCAAGAAATGTCGATATTAGACCAACAATCGCGTATGTACAAACGAAAGTTGGCCCGCTGGCACTGCTCCCAAGAGTCCCAAGCAACTGCTTCTAGTGCTCCCACTCCCACTTGATGCTATACACGTTCCATAACTTCCGTACAGTCGCTGAACACTGTACAGTTCTGTAGGACCACGGTAGGAAAAATTGAATTGATAATGTCGGTAGCACTTGGAATGTGCGAGACACCCGGCTGTAACGCCGTTGCAAGTCTGCAATGTCCAACTTGCTTAAAAATCGGTATCCAGGGTTCATATTTCTGCAGCCAAGTAAGACACGCTATCGTACCATTTTAGGTTAAATTGCTCTCAATTTCCTCCTTTATTAACCCTTTTCCGTTACGTGTTTTTCCGTTAAAAAGCATTTCAATTAATAAAATTTATTAAACGTTATCCGACGTATTAATTATAACCAGGATCTGATGGATAAAATTGGCGAATTTTTAGCGATGTTTTGCGATTTATCGCAAGTCTAAAATAGTCGTTGTTGCAAGTGTTATTGGTTCAACAACAGTTTTCGTTTCTAGTTGTCTCACAATGCAGTATATATCTCCGTTTGAAAATAAAATGTATGTGTATTGTATGTAGAAATATAGGCTATTTATTTTTGTGCCACAGAGAATTACTACTAAACTAAACCATTATTGAGTTAAAGATTGACTCAAGTCTCAAAATTGTAATTTTCAGAATTGTTTCAAGGGTAGTTGGAAAACGCATAAAGTCATCCATCAATTAGCGAGTGAGTACGAGTGCCGTTGGATTAGCTTGAATAATTTTTGTTGTCGTGTAACGTTTGTGTAACACGTTTGCGTATCTAATCAGAGGGAGAAAATGGAAAGAAAGTGAGCGACAGTTATAATCCTTGGCCAGCCTACAATTATACTGGGAAATTACGGCCGTATGAAAAGGAGCAGCGTAGAGAGGTTCCCGAGCGTATCGCTCGACCAGACTATGCCTTACATCCAGCTGGAATACCACTGAGTGAACAAGCTGTAAAAGGTTCTGGCCAGATAAAAATTCTCGACGATGAAGAAATCGAAGGCATGAGGGTCGCGTGCAAGGTATACAGCATAGATATAGTTTTCTTCTCATTGTTATCAAAGTAGTATCAAATGGAATTTTGCATAGCTCGGCCGAGAGGTCTTGGACGAAGCTGCAAAGACGTGTAACGTTGGTGTTACAACAGCCGAAATTGATAGAGTTGTGCATGAAGCTTGCATCGAAAGAGATTGCTACCCATCGCCGTTAAATTACTATCAGTTTCCTGCCAGCTGTTGCACCTCTGTCAACGAAGTGATTTGCCACGGTATACCCGATACACGACCCTTGCAGGATGGCGACATTTGTAACGGTATAAATGTGACAATGTTAATTTCCCTCCACTTTCGAGAGAGAGAGCTATCACTATTGCTAATTGTGACACCTAATTGTTGCTTCTTAGTCGACGTTACGGTATATCACAACGGCTTCCACGGAGATTTGAATGAGACCTTTTTAGTGGGTAATGTAAAGCCGGAAGTAAAGAAATTGGTAGAAGTGACGTACGAATGCTTGGCCAAGGCTATTGACATTGTGAAACCTGGTGAAAAGTACAGAGAGATTGGTAATGTCGTGCAAAAGCATGCGCAAGCGCATGGTCTCAGCGTCGTCCGTAGCTACTGCGGCCATGGAATTCATCGTTTGTTTCATACCGCGCCGAACGTGCCGCATTATGCCAGTAAGTAGCTTTCAGCCAAAGTGAGTGAAGAATGATACATTTTGAATGGAAAAGTTATAGTATATATTGATATTATCTAGAAAATAAAGCGGTAGGTGTTATGAAACCCGGACACTGCTTCACAATCGAGCCAATGATATCCCAAGGTACATGGAAGGACGAAACATGGCCCGACAATTGGACCGCCGTTACATTGGATGGTCAATGGTCAGCGCAATTTGAACATACGCTTTTAGTAACGGAGACTGGTTGTGACATTCTCACGAAACGGCTCGTGAATAACGGTAGGCCATGGTTTATAGATGACTTGTAGTAGCATTTTTCTCCCTACAAGTTTTATTTCCCTACAAGATTTTAACTCGTGTGAATCGACAAGAGTCTAGCGTGTAAGTTGGCTCGTTGAGAAAGTTGAGTAACCTTTTTGTTTTTGCAAATGTATAGTAATAAAAAAATTAATAGTACAGTTGAGTTACCCTTCCAATTTTGCGTCCTGTGCAAGAGGCATCTGTTGTAAATAGCATTTGCCAGTGCATAACAATTTTTAATAAAAACAATTGTAAATTTTGCCAAGGTTTTGCAAGGCGAGAGAAAACAAGTTAAAGATATGAAATATCTAATAAACTAATTTGTACTTGAAGTATTATCTCTCTCTCGGAATTGTTGATTTACCCGTATTACATATGTCCTTACCAAACGATGATGCGCGATATTCAAAGCGGCACGAGTGAAATTTTACAATCAAAGATTATCAATACATACGTCTCGTAACATGCACGCACGTTTTCACGCGTTTCTCACACGCAGCATAATCTTAAATAAATTATTAATTTACAATACCATCTTGTTTTAGTAATATATATATATATGCGCGTTCGACAATATTTGCTTCCAGTTGTCTAATTTAAGAACGCAAACGACTGCCAAACTCAATACCAGGATCATTGTCATACGACGTTGTTTTTCCATCGAGCAAAGTCGCCGATTGCACATGTTCAATTTCCTTGTCTTCATTTTCATTTTCATACTCGTACTCCAAGTCTCCAGTATCATCTTTCCTCACATTACTTGGCTCGTCATCGTTCGTAATGTAATCACTTTCGTCAGGCACAGTAATTTGCAGAGGTGACTTTTCATTATTTCGTTGGTTGTAACTTTCAGTCTGTCTACGGTGGTGTTGCTGACTGGTTTTCATATTCTGCTCCGACTTTGGTTTCTGCTGTTGATCGATCTGCAACCGTGTCGTTTTACTGTGTTGAATTACGACATCGCCGTCATCGTTCTTATGATTAAACGGTATTGCTTCGTTCTTCCGCACATCTTTCTTCTGTTGTTGCCGAAGCTGGCCAATGAGACGACTGTTGACGTTACCGGCAGCGGCCAGCGCGGCTAATTTCTCAGCAGCTTCTCTGTTGGGGAGTGTCGTATAAAATCTGGTCGATACGGCATTATCGCCGACGACCTTATCGAAATACATGGTCGGATTTCTCTGATGGTTCATTTCTCCGTATTCAACATTGTTTTCAGATTGTTGGACGTTACCTGTAGGAAATGTAAGTTGTTGGTCACGTATGTCTACCGAAGACTCTGGATCGAGATTATAATCTGCCGTGACACTTTCCGAAGCGTAATCTTGATCGGGTAAGATTTGCTGCTGTCGCCGTTGTAGCTGGTTAGTCTGTTCGTCATAATTGAAGGAATGCATTTGTGGTCGAGAGAAGCTTGTTGCCTGCTCCGATTCAAGTGTTTGGCCAAGTTGTTGCTGTTGAAGGATACGTTGCTGATCTAAAAGTATAACTTTTATTCTAGCATCTCTCTTCTAGTCTTGCCTCGACTTGAATAAAGATTTCAGGTTGAATTGCAATTAATTCGCCAATCACAACTATCGTGCATTAATGGACTTGTAATGGAATGTACGTGACAGCACTGATCCAACCGGAAATAGTTGTACTCTACCTGCTGTATACCGCTCCGCGAGTTGATGCGGGAAATTATTCAAGAGATTGTAGAGTTGCGAAGATGACAACGGTGGCCCTGCTGGAGCCGGATGACCTACGTAAAGGTCCGCTGGTAGGTCTTGCTGCGCTACGGTGTCTGCGGTGTCTGCGGTGTACGGTGCCTGCGGAACGGCGGTGAGAGGAAATCCGACGTTTAGGGAACTATGAAGATTCGTTTGCATTGGCAGGTTTGCGCTTGACTGACCAAATTGCGCATTCGAGCCTACAACACTCCGAGTATCCGAGTTAACCGGATGATTTGCAAAAAGCTCGTTGGAGGGCTGCGGATTATTTATTATAATCGAGTACAGCCTCGTTACATCTAAATCCTGTGGTCGAAGGATGGCCGGCTGGACAGTTTCGTTGTTTTCCGTAACTTGATATTGATTCTGTTGCGGCGTAATTTCCTGCGGCGATAAACCACTGCCAATAGTGGCTAATCCAAAGATGGTTCTTGTGGGATCTGTAACCATGTGTGTGTAACTGTAGAAACGAAAAGGAAAATTTGCCATGAAAGTGTCTACTTACTTTGTGCTTGTGATGTATGGTAATCGCTCGAGTACGCTCGGTGGTCCGCGATATCTTGGAAATTGGTGGGCGTATTGGCCAAATTGGCGGTGTCGTATCGTATCGGTGGCTTATCCGCTGGAGTCAATTTTGGCGCCGGAATCGTGTGGATGGGTCCTCTGTCGTCGTCGACACCCCCTCGGTGAGTAGCTGCTGGCAAAGCAACTAGTTCCGGCCGGTATTCCGGACTGTATTCCGGCACCTTGTTTATAGAGTAAAATTCTTTAATGGTAGCCCGTTGTGGCAAAATTGGACGATTGTTGAGGGATACTGCTCGCATTGGAATTTGATTTTTCCAGCTAGTCGGCAAGACATTGTATATCGGCCGGCGAATTCTAAAATGAGATTGAAAATGAATGCATGTAGCCGATGGAGCTAAAGAAAGAAAGAGTGTGTATAACATTTTTACCTGTAATTGGCATACTTGTAAGGTATTTGCAAGGTTCTTTGATGAGACAAACCAGCACCGATATGAATGGCATTTCCCATAGATATTCTTGGATTGATAGGCCGAGGCTGTTTTAACATCACCGTAGGAGCGTACGGTGCAGGAGATAACGGTCTTCTAATCTTATTCTTCGCTTCGGAAAGACAGATACACACGGCGAGGAGCCAACAAATCCAACTAGTTGTCTACAATGTGATTTACCGATAGCGTATTCGACATCAAAGCGATTCTCTCACTTGTTCCCATTCCCATTGAGAAACGGGAAAACAGAGAGGGGGAGAGAGATATAATATTATTCTCGAGACGCAAAGAAAGTAAAGACGGAACTTTAGGATCTCTACATGTGGCTCTTTGGACCATGTCATACCCGCTTTATACTCGTAAAACCAAAGAGAAAATTGCCACGGATCGTTAGTGCGAGCTAAATGTGGGACATTGTGCCACATTGGTGCTCGCCAGGGAAAAGCGAGAAGAATTGAAGATGTACGTGAAAATGCGAAAACTGTCTTTGAAATTAATATCGTATTTCGATTTGATGTAATCCTTATCTCGATATTTCAACTTTTCACACCACTCGTACTCATTGTTAAAAAATTTGCAAAATTTTATTTTTTAAGTTTTATGACGATTAATTTTACACACGTCGTTAATATAGCGTTAATATAACGACACATCATATATGTAACGTTACCGTCCCATATAATCCCATAATCCCATAATCCCATAATCCCATAATTCCATAATCCCATAACGACTTGGATCAAACTCGATCTTTTGTATACTTGGATAAACACTTGGATAAATTGTTGCACAATATGTACCTTACCTTCATAATAATTTAATAATAATTTAACTTGTTGTCGGCTGCAACATGCAAAACTGCACTGTTTTCTTTTTCCTTTTTTCGCTCTTTTTAAAATCTACCTCGATAAGGAAACAAATTTAACATAGTTGTTGTAATTAATAATGTTACAAATAATCAAATATGAATTGCGCGCACGGTGAGCATCGAGGAAGCACAACAACGTTCTGCACACAATTGGGTCATTGTCCTTCATTTATACTCCGAAGACTAAAACTGGCCTCCTACCTCGTCAATCCGCAGCAGTTGCTTCGAGATATCGTTACCGATATCGGTAAGATTGTAATGCTAACTCGTAATGCTAACTTATTTCTTAAGATAACATAATATTTAATATTTCTGCATTAATACACAATTTCTCTCGCCAAGGAAACTTGATTTTCTTCTAGTATAACTTGTGCGTGTTATATACTATACAAGATTGAAATATCAAAGTTACATTTTGTATGTTATTACGAAAGAAAAAAACAAATGTTTTCAAAAGCATATTTGTTCCGCGAGTCGATTTGATCGAACGCAGGTGTTATTTGGTCACGCTCTCGCAACGTTTCTCTCCATACTCTCGACACTCGCTTGAGACTCGAGAATGCAGTCGTTGATGCGCGGTTAAAACTGCTACGCGTGTGTGATCCAGTGACCTATATGTAATTGCAAAAAATGTCATGTTGACAGTGTTGTGCTCAGATGATTTAAAAATTATGTGGCGGCTAGGCTCATCTAGTTCACTTGTAGATAACATGTTGTTAATGATGTTTTTATCATCACTTATATGTATAAAATTGTCAAAATGTATTCATACTCTTTATTTAGAAATTTACGTATAATAATTTATTTTCATTCGTCATTTTACAATAATGTAATCTTAAGTCACCTGGTCTAAAACGCTGCATTCCGATTGGTTCTCCAATTCATCAAATTCATCCTAGATAATTTAGTCAGCTCGATTATGAATGAATGGTATCTAGTGCCAAGCATATAACGTAATAGCAAAGACAATCTATAATATATTATTATTCCGTTATAGGAAATTATATTACATTCGAAATCCTATTTAGCTTCTTCATACAAAGAAACTTAAGAGCTGCTTAAATTCTTTCTTAACGCTCGCCACGGCCGTAAAAGCTGAGCATGAGAAATGACAAAGAAGTAAAAGTAAAATTGCAGATTGTTATAAAAGATTGTCGCGTAATTTAATATGTATATGCTCCAATTAAATTCGATAAGAAGTAAAATAGATTTTCTCTCTCTCTCTCTCTCTCTCTCTCTCTCTCCCTTTCTGCGCGTTCTACCGTTAAATAGCATTCGCAACGGTACAATATAACGGTAATTAAAGATCTACAGTTGGCTAACCAACCAAAATCGAGCAAATGTAACAGCCGCGCCGGTATAACGTTACACTGTGCAATTGTTTAATCTCATTCGGGTGGTAAAAAATAACTTGCGTTGTAGGTAATGATGCGTAATAAAGTAAAATATACATACAGG